AAAAAAGAACCCCCCCCTCCCTCCTCATCTTCCCAACCCCATCATCTTCTCCACCTTCACATACTACCACCAACCCTTCCACTACAAGCACATTCTTCCCTGACTATTGATTCAATTCTTTGACAATTTTGAGCAACATCCATCACAAATCCTTATACAAATTTTAAATTCAAGCTCAAACCCAAAGCTTCAAACTTGTTAATGGTATTTTTTAAATTTTATCAAAATTAATTACCTAAGTAAATTTTTACTCAACAATAATCACGAATTCAAACTAATTTTCTAGGTCATGAAAATCAACAAGACCCGATTAAATTTCCAAGCTTTTTCAAAAAGTCAATAATGGTGATTTTTACAAGACCCAATAGCTCCTATGTTCGTCTTTTTTTCTTCTTCTTAGTCATGGGGGTTGGAGAGACGTAATATGAGGGGTAGATAAAACTAGGAATCTAGGATGGGGGTTGGGGAAGAAGACGGGGGCTAGGGTTTGGAGTTGGGGAAGAAGACATGGATTATATTTTTTTTCTTTAATTTGAAAAGGAAATAGTTATAAAAAAAAAGGAAAAAAAAACTTAATTTCAGGTGAATTTTTTAGTTTTCACGCGCTTCTTTTATGTGTAATACACGCGTGTGACACATGGCAAAAGAGGTGTGTAATTGACACACTTTTAAAAGTTTTGGTGTGTAATACTATGCCCGTGTTTAACAAGTGTGTAAGAAGTATTTGAGTACAAGGTGGATGGTTAAAGTATGTATTTTGCCTTACTAATGTACCTTATTCAATATTATTCTTATACCTCCTGCCAAACGACCCCTTAATAGTATCTTTTTAGATTTATAACAATTTTAAGCTTCTTATATAAGTGCAGAAATAACCCTTTTTAAAACCCCTATTTAAAGGAGAGTCTTTATAGTCGCTTAGAATCAACTTCAAACTTGCGAGACTGAAGTTAAAAATTATAAGTTTGAAGTTGGAAACTATTAGTTTGGGTATCAAGTTAGGTTCTCAATCCCCAACATCATATGTCTGATACCAAAAGTCCAAAGCTGAAAACTAGCCAAGCCTAACTTCAAACACTGATGTCTGAAGTTCACTGCATTTACACTCAGCTGCTTTCAACTTCATAGTTTATTTTAAAAAATTGAGACTCAGATTTTTTATGTTATACTTCAATCAACTGTACCACTTTTTTTTTTGCTTGTGACACTAAGGTCATATCTCTTGCCTTATTCACTGTATTGGGAAAAATTAAGTTTACATATTGAAGTAATTGAAAGATGACGTGTCATGATATGAAGGCTAGTCAAAGAGTGGTGATTAGCAAAGAGGCACGAGTTGCAACATATACGAGCAGAGGCACAAGTAGAGGCACGAGCAGTTATTCAAAAGACTCAACGCTCGTACCTATTTAAATCCAAAAATCAAGGAGAACGAATCTGACAGCACAAGAGAGTACAGATACAGTATTTAATAAACATTAAATACTAAAAACGTTAGAGAATCTGTATTAAATTACAATGATTATGTAACGTAGCATTTAATATCTTTAATTGTCTATAATAGCTTATTATGACAAAGGCAAAACATATATCTTAGAGATAGCTATAAAAAGGAGAAGACTGGTCATTTGTAAGGACACGAAATTTCAACTGAATATACTGATTTACTTTATTTTCTGATATTTATCTTATTGTTATCAAAATCAATTTCTTTTGTTCATTTTTGATTATCAGTAACCCGAGTTCTTCTAAAAATTAAGCTTTGACCGAAATTCTATTTTTTGGTTAAATAAATTGGTTCCGTTGCCTGGAATC